CAAAATGACACAGCTTTATAATCAAATTGAAACTAAAGTTAGGCGTTTGCTATCACGTGACCAAACTGTGGAGTGAGCTGTCAGATTCAATTGCTCACAGGTGGTGATAATGCAGGGCAAGCAAGAAGAATTAAGTGAAATTTAAATTTGTGGATTATGCACTTGCTATACAGCTGCATTTAGAAGCGATGTAAGTATATTTATTCTTATTTATTCAGGTTAACTGTAACAATTGACTCGGAATTCATTCTTGTAATGTTTTTGCACACAAAGTTGTAAGTTGTTTCTATCTATCTAATTCTTAACTGTCTATTACAGACACGATTATAACAAAGAAATTCAGTCAGAGACTGCAAGGAAAACAAATGTTGTGGTGGTACATGTAAATAACAATGAAATCGAAGACCATGCATAAAGAAGTGTATGAAGTATGAGTACGTATGACAAAGATCAAGATGAAGAAAACGGGAGGCGACGAAGGGACGGAAAAAAAGCGGGAATACAACAAAAGGACTATAATAAAGGAAGTGAGCCCTGATTAAGAACTTTTAATTGATAATTTTTCATACTTTACCTCTATTGTCTATTTTAAAATTTATTTTGTAAATTATGATTGAATTGATGTATATAAAATATTATCACAGTGAATCATTAGTAATGTTTTCATTGAACATGTCCATGTATGCATTATGAATGTAGATTGAATTGTGTATTAATTATTTTAAACAGTCATAAAATAGGTTTATGTAAAGAATCACTTAACCAATTGCAAATGCATTTCTTTGTAATACATGTAACTACGTTGGCCCAACAATATGCCATCTGACATTTCAACATAGGGCCAACGTTGGGCCAACCTAACCAAACAGTTGTTAAGGTTGGCTGTTAGTTGGCATACACTAATAACTTTGTTGGCCCAACAATATGCCATCTGACATTTCAAGAAAGGCCAACGTTGGGCCAACTTAACCAACTAGTTATTAAGGTTGGCTGTTAGTTGACATACATTTGTACTTACGTTGGCCCAACAATATGCCAACATGTTGGACCAACGTTGGGCCGATGAGCAAAATTACCGTGGGCCAACGTAAGGTTACCAACTGTGGGCCAACGTTGGCCCAACTATGTCTTGCTATCTGGGAGTATGGCAATTATTGCGCAAGAAATTCCTTTCTAAAGGACTGAATACCGATTAAGAAAAATCTGGTGAACTCGGGTGACGGACCCGATCAAGCCGTGGAATATCCAAACCGAAATTGCTATATGGGTTTCATGTTATCTTGAAACTTCAGGAATTCGTTGTATTTATTCGAAATACGATCAATGTTGTTGATATCAAGTATATTACCTGTAAAATACGATTGAAAACATGTAATAACTTTATTTACATATACTTCCGGTATCTATTCTAGTAGAACATCTATGATCGGAACTGAAAATTCCGAAATTTATTTACTTCTCAGCTATGTTAAGGAAGGTCAGAGTTCACATTCCTTGTATATCGTATTTAAAGTTTAATTGTGACGTCATTTAAATTTAACAAGCCACATAAATTGAATAACGACATGATCATGCGTAAATAACAACTTGAATTTATTTATTTTATCGATTATTTATAAAAACTTGTAAAATCGCAATACTTGATAGCAATACAGTCGAGCAATAGAAGAAAGTCTTTCGTCAAATATGACATCATCAGCCCTGACATGACGCACACAAGTGATCCAGAGGACTAGATTCACTGGTTTAATAATTACAAGAATGCTTAAATTAGTATGATACTATTGCTAATTTTTAAATCTGATGATAAAAACTAAGAAGAAAATAATTTATTTAATACAATGTGTATACAATATGAACTTATCTGGTAGAATTGAAGCTGCACAGGGATAGTAAATGTAGAGAATATCGCTAAACCGATAAGCGTATTCATGATTTACATCAAAAGTGCAAGTGCATAGACTATTTTGTTTTATGTGAAATTTGGAATATTTATTGCTTATATAGTGTATTTTTTGAAAAGTGCTGGGAGCTGATCCTAGTCTGCATAAAATTATTTTTATTTATAACAGAATTCAAGCAAAGTGGAAATTTTTATCTATTATAAGCATTTTTGACAAAATTTGAAGTACTTCACAAACAGCGCTGACTAGCTCCCAGCACTTTTTGGGTAGAGGAAATGAACTTCTTTTAATTTGTATCAATTTTTTCTTAAAAAGAACAAGCGTATGCCCTTGCAATACCCCCATTTCCTAGATTCAGCTTAACAATTCTATTAATATTCAAATCACGTGACCAACAGCTGATACGTGCGATATAACTGGTAATAACTACGGCCCAGTCCTATCGATCATTGATAGCTATATTACGTTTTCTACAAGTATTCAGTTGCTTTGTTACAATTTTTTAAAAGAGGTAATACATATTTGAATGGTGCAAAGGTCACATTTTCCATATCGTTCCTTAACATAGCTGAGTTTCTATCTCTCGAACTTTTCTTGCGGTCCCTTGAACTTCGAGAGATCGAGAGTCAACTGTAAATAAATAAAGTTATCTTTTGCATATAATAAGTACGAGGGTCGTTAGAAAAGTTCGCGGACACATTAAATTACGGAAAATCTATTGTGTACTGTGAAGTATGACCTATGTCTGAATAAATTCCTACATTTTGTTTATTGGTATATAAAAAATCAGGTCCATATAATAAAATCTTGAAAATTTACAACAATTTTTATTATGAGGTTATGGGATTCACGGAGCAATCACTTGACGTAAGGCGACGTGACAGCCTGATTTCAACCTGTTAAGCTTTGTCGCAGTTCTATAAATCTTTAGATTTTTTTCTACGTTAAAATTGAATATCTATATCAAGACATGTTAATTTTCTTCTACAATGTCTTTTGTACTGATTTGGATATTACTGAGATCCGTTTATGCAGCTAATCAGTTAATCGATCAGGTATGGAAACTATGCAAAAAACCATATAGGCACAACACAACGTCATGCGATACGGGGGTATTGAAGTATCGCTGGAGTTAATCTTTCAAAATGTCAATCCTCCCATTCTTATGAAGCTACAACCATTTTAAAACTTTCCTTTGTAGGTGTAGGAAATCCCCGAGAGCATCTTGAACATTTTAATATCTTTTTATACATTTTCCAGCCTGCATACATAATTTTTACGTAGTGCAGTGCTCCATGACGCTCAATGACCTTCCGATTTTTGGCTGTGTTTTTACGCAATGATCATATACAAACGGCTATAAAACAGTCATATACCCTCCGATTTAGCTCAAAATTTCTCCCAGTGAAGTTTCATGAATACTTTAGCGGCAGGTAAAATATCATAAATCTCTTTGCGCTACAATTGTGCAATTTTTATTTTTAATAAAGGGACTTTGTGATGTAAACTTGCCAAAATGTAGCATGCTCCGTGAAGCAAGTTTTATCAGACTAAAAAAGCTGTATATTTCTTAATAATCACCGGAGAGCAACAATTTCTTGTATATTTATTGGAAAAAAGGTAAAGATTCTATCTGGAAAGTTTGACCGCTTTTGTGGAAATAGCGCGCTCACAATTGAACTTGTCCGCGAACTTTTCTAACACCCCTCGTATAGTAAATCAAAGTGTCAGTTATCACTATTATTAACAATTCTGTATAGGAATACTCTACCACTCCTAATGCAAAGCTTTTGTCAGCTGTTGCAGAGGTTAGGGATGCGATTGTGTAGGTAAATCATGAAAATTCATTTTATTCTAATGCTGCTCAATTAGGATTAAATTTTATGATTTAGTTGACTATGACAAAAAAAGATTGCTGTTGCTTTTCAAGAAATAGAGTGTCAAACAGGCCATATGTATTGTCAGGTTGAAATACGACTCTAAGATGCTGAGATGTTGAATAGGCATGTGCAGGTAGAACATCTTTAGAATACTTTTATTCCTTCAAAGTCCTTTAAATACGAACCAATTCAGTCTTACTTTTATGTTATACAGTGTTCCATATCATTGCATTACCACCACTAAATTTATTAACGTTCGATAGACATTTTTCCGTCTTATGTTCATCACGTCACCTTTCTGTGAAAAGACCTCTTGAAATGCTTATGTTTCTTATTATTATTCTTTTCCGTTACCAACTTTTAAACCGAAAGACTCGAAAAACTTTTTGCTTTTGCTTCATGACACTGGAAAACAAATAAAATTATTTCGAAAAAATACCCAACGACTATGACTTATAATAGGTATTCCTTGGAATATTTTGGACCAGAAGCTAAACCAAAATGTTCAACGGTGATGTTGTGGCCATACTCTGTCGATCTGAGATCTTTGAAGCCGATATTTGGGTGTGGCTGTGAATGGCATGAATGATTCTTTCGGATTAATTCAGCAATGGAAAGTGAATATTTGGTATATTTATTATATTTATTATATTATAAATGTTAAAATTATAGTGTTGTTTACGCCACATCATTTGATATGTAATAATCCTAAAATGTGTGAATATATGATAGTTATTTGCGAAATGAAAATGATTAAAATGAGCCCATTAAAAAAATAACAAGCTTGGAGACATAAAGTTTATGCGATAAATAATTGGAAATTCGAAGCTCTCCGATTTCCTAAGTACAGTGTATATGCTACATGACATTTTTTTTTTCCATTTCCACTCAACAATGTCAAAAATATTTTAGAGCTTATATTGAACTTTCAATTATAAAACCTCATATATCAAGAAAAAATACAGATCAGACCTCTACAAACATCATAGCTGTACATGTATATATCAGGTATTATGAAGTATGTTCTGAAGAACTTGTTTATATCATTAAATCAGGCTATTTAGTCGGTTATATAAATATTTGTACAGATTAAATTTTTATTATTAAAGTAATGCATTATCAAAATTTGATTTTAGATTTATTTTTTACCGATATAATGGTAAAAACGTTAAACGCATATTCTAAAAACAGAACAATGGCTGCCTTCCATTCATCTTCACTTTTCATCTTTATAAATGCACTCAAGATCGTCTTTAATTTTCATATCTTCTCTTTTTCTACTTATATGGCAACCGCCATGTTTTTCCCTGTACTTTTGAGAAAAGTTTTTTTCGTCCTCGATATTTAAATTGTACATTAAGTCTTCCCATGTATCTTCATTAAAAGCCTTTAGTTTACAGCGTCTATGGTCCATAAGTTCTCTAAGACCATCAGAGTTTTTGGTACTCGTTTCTTCTGAGACATCCTCGTAGTGTGGTTCTGTTTTGTAGGAGTTTCGCCGGATTCCATATATATTCGCTATATATATAGTTGCCTCAGCTAGCCTCTTTTCTTTAAGAAACTTGAGCAACTTGTTTTTGTCCGCAGGACTTGGAGATCTACTTGTGTAGATTTTAACAAGCATGCTCTTTCCGTCGTATGTCTTTTCAAGATTTTCCGTCAGATTTTTTCCAAAATGCTCTTTGTATTGCATCTTCTCAGCCTGGTCTCTATTTACACGATAAACCAGATGTGAGATGTCAGAGGTCTCCTGAGATGAAGAATGGACGTCTTTCAAGCCCATGTAAAACATGCAGTCATATACGTCTGTAAAAAGAAATTTAAATATTTCACAAAGTCACAAAAGAGATTTGACAAATCTACTGATACCTTATACCATTCTCACAATATTACATGTAGTAAAATCCATGCATTTGTAGGTAATGTAAATAAAAGAAAATGCAAATGAATTGGAAGAACTCATTTAGAAAAGAGACAAGTTCTCTTCTTATCTTGTATTTTACATTATAGTAGGTTTAAAATCAAGGTGAAATTCCAACTTAAAAACATGTCTTTATCAATTTCGTATCCCTAAAATTGTGCACAAGTATTGTCTACGTTGTCGACATGTTATTTTTGTCCCTTTTATATCCAGCGTTCATGATTCGCAATATCTATAATTCGCTTAAAGATAACTGATTAACTTAAGCATTGAATTCATATTTTTGGATGTTTTCGGTCCTATAATATACCTGGCCGTGCCGACAAATTGAATACCGCGCGGTAGCGCGGTATGATAATTCGTCGGCACGGCCAGCTGTGTTATAGGACCGAAGACATCCCAAAATATGAATTCAGTGCTTATATATACATTCTCTAATTTTTCCTCTTCGTAATTGTTTGTTTTGATAATCTAAATGTGAATTTAGCGCCCTTCAAAACTGGTGTGCTTATTAGAAAAAAGACTCGTTTATGACGTTGCAAACTTAAATAAAGCAAACGAGCATTGCGTGGAAAAAAGTTACAAATTAATTTTAAACTTTCATTTGTTGTATTTTTTCGTTAATTTAACACAGTTTTTTTTATGAAATTGCGTCAAATCAATGTACATTTTGGTGTTCCTAGAGTATTGATAATGCATATAGTTCCTACAGTGTATTCTTACGCACGGTGACAAGGTTTCGCGTGTTTTATAGAGATTTGAACGTGGGGGATTTCTAATGGATTTCATAAAGAAAATAACACTGAATGTAAAAATAATATGTTAGTTGCTTGTAAATCTATATTCAATGAATTCATATCAGCAACATTTTAAAGCTACTGCCGAACTACTCTACTATAGAAAGTGACAAACATTTAGAGATCTAAATAAACTTACGATGGCAAAATATGTGCTCAAGATCTTGGTTTAAAAGTTCATCTTCTTTTTTTCTACTTCTGTCGTCATCTGCCTGTTCCTTTTCGTACATTTCATCAAAGTTGGTAATTTCATCTCGGAGATTTAGCATGTCTATCAAGTGTGTCCACGTTTCTTTTCTAAAGGCTTTAACTTCGCAACGACGATGTTCCATAAGTTTGCATAAGGCCTTCGCATTCTCCTCACTCTGGCTTTTATTCACTCTAGATATATGACTTTCCTGATTTTTACTGCATGACTGTCTTATTACATTATACAGATTTGCCACATAAAAAATAAGATTGTAATTTTTGTTTTCATTCAAAAATTCTAGCAATGTTTCTGAACATCGGGAACATGGGGAATTATTACTGTATACATGTACCACCACATGCTCGTCATGCTTACGAATCAAGTCTTTTGTACTTGCTTCTCTTTCACAAAGACGATTTATCAAAATCACTTCAGTATGATCACCCCGATTTTCATTTTGAACTCTTTCTGGCCTGTCATTATTAAGGGAGAAAAACAGGAAAGATTTTCTGACTAAATACCATTTTCCATAGGAATACTTGTGATTTAATACCGTATTGAACATGTGATGAAATGCTCCTAAATTTTCTGCAAAGATAAAGAACATATGAATTAACACATTTTATGTGAATAGTATTAATGAAATATATTTTCATTGAAATTTTAAAATTAAATTGAATCTTTCGCAGTATTAGGAGAAAAAAAAAATCATTTACCCCCCCCCCCCCCCATGGAGGAATTACAAAAAGTTATCCGAGTTTACGTATACATGTATGTAGATTTCATATTCTGCAAACCTTAAAACTAAATTCTTGGTAATTTAGTCGCCCGCGTGGCGCAGTGGTTAGAGCGTCTGCTCCAGAATCACGAAGTAACGAATCGATCCTTACGTCGCGGGTTCAAATCCAACAGTGGGACGTGGAGACTGATCCTTCGGATGAGACCGTATTAACCGATATCCCTTGTCGTAGTAGGTTCTGGCAGGAAAAAGATCCCTTCCTGCTCAAGGGTACTAAGTGTCGAGTATAAGACAAAATTTGCAACTCTCCACCTGCAAGTGGTGGCGTCTCCATATGAGTGAAAAACCTCGAGAGGGACGTTAAGCAATATCCAATAAATCTATCAATCTTTGTAATCTATGCATGTTCATAATCCCCTCTCATAGAATTTTAAAAAATATACAGAGATCAATATCTTAATGTTGTCGTCATTATTGAAAATAAAGCTACACCTGTAAATGGTTTATTGATTTATTGAATGGATGTTAACGTTCCGCTCTATAGACTTTTGTCCTATGCTCGGCATTCTGGGCCACTGAGCAGTGAGGGATCTTTTTCGAGCTAGCACCTACTGCGACACAGGACCTCGGTTTATACGTTCTCGTGCCAGTACCTCCTACCTCCTCGGTTAATACGGTCTCATTCGAAGGACCGGTATCCACGTCCCAAAGTGGGATTCGAGCACGCAACGTGAGAATTGACTCCTTACTTGGTGACCCTAGAGCAGACACTCTAACCACTGCGCCACTCGGGCGACGTTAATTCTGAGAGAAACAACACTCTTAATAAGATATTCCTAAATTGCATATTGATTCACCTGAATTTTCAGATGTGTCGCTGTCTGAAAAAAACGATAAATTATGTCGATTTCTTAAGTCATTCGTGGTTAAATTTATTAAAGAATGTTAGTGTGGGTGTCATATGCGAACTATTCTAATCACTAAAGGAATTGAGGTTATGAAGATACAATTAAATAATGCTTATAACGAATATGCTTATAACAAATTGTCCCTTAAAACGAAGTAATTTTTATTCCCGATGATTATACATTAACGTTTTGTTAACTTATTCTAGATAATGAATTACGCTTTTAATAAAGTAAAATCCTCCGTTCCTCGCACTTCATTAAAAGCGGGTACATGTATTACTTTATTACTTAATTAAAGTAAAAATAATTAGATTGCATTTTTTTTTTTGTTTCAATTAAAAAAAAAATCACCCAAGTGTGATCGTCCCGATATTCATTTTGAACTTTATCTGGATTTTCACAATTAATAGAGTAAAGCAGGGTAATTCAAAATGCCATTTTCCCTTTGAATTACTATGATTTGAAACCGATTTGAACATTTGAAATGCTTGTAAGTTTTCTGGTAAAAATAAAGAGCATATAAATAGAAAAAATATATATGAATATTAATGAAATTTCTTTTCATTGAAATTTTATTAAATCAAATCCTTAGCACTATCAGGAGAAATAAATCATTAATTCCTAACAAAAAATGGAGGGATTACAATAAGCTATAATCGTAAATTATACCTTCTGTAAATCTTAAAATTTATTAAACTTCTTTGCAATTTATGCATGTTCGTGATTCAAATTTATAATATTGAAATAAGATACAGAAATTATTTAATTTCTATAAAATACTTCATTCTGATTAGATAAAAAAAATTGTTTTGATAATTGCATCAATAAAATCTTAAGTTCACTTGCACTAAGCAGCGGGAACTACTTTGGCTGTCTTTACGTGTATATTTCCCGCTTCCAGATGGAAGAATTAAATAGTTTTACTTTTATAGATATTTTCCTGAATTTTGAAACCTGTCCGTGAGTTACGTTCCTGACTTATTTTCTACTTTCGTTTCTTTTTTAATAATCCTCCTTTGCTCAACAAACTGAATCGTCTGCATGACACTCATACAGTTATGGGACGGCTCATTGAAGGAGATGTATAGAAAAAAAAACATAGAAGTATAATTAATTTATGATTTTTTTTCAATATAAGTTACTACATCATTTCTAACTGATATTTTCAATTTGGGATACATATCAATGTTGCATTGCTTTAAAATAATTTTTGTTAATTTTAGAATAATTGATTGATTGTATGTTTTTTATCGCCCCCTAGAGAATTTTTTACTCATATGGAGACGCCACCACTTGCCGTTGGAGAGCTAGAAATTTTGTCCTATACTCGGCACTCAGGGCCATTGAGCAGTGAGGGATCTTTTTCGTGTCAGTACCTACTGCAAAACGGGGCCTCGGGTTGTAAAGTCTCATCCGAAGGACCGGTATCCACTTCCCACAATTGGATTCGAACACGCGGCGTAAGGATTGACTCCATACTTGGCGACTCTAGAGCACACGCTCTAACCACTGCGAAACGCGGGCGAAATTAATTTCGAGAGAAATCTTAAGATATTCTTAAATTCCAAAGTGATTTACCTGAGTTTTCAGATGTCTCCTTGTCTGAAAAAAAAATAAAATCGATTAGTATGTTGATTTTTTTAAGTCAGCCTTGGTAAAATTTATTAAAACATTGTTAGTGTGTGTGTCACATGCGAAATATTCTAATCAGTTAATTGCAATAACCTATATATGTAGATTTTACATTCTGTAAATCTTAAAACTTATCTAACTTCTTTGCAATGTAAGCATGTTCTTGATTCCCTTTCATGATATTTAAATAAGATACGTTAATCATTTAATTTCTTTAAAATACTTCATTCTGGTTCGATAAAAAAATTGTTTTGATAACTGCATCAATAAAATCTTAAGTTCACTTGCACTAAGCAGCGGGAACTACTTTGGCTGTCCTTACGTGTATATTTCTTGCTTCCGTATGGAAGAATTAAATAGTTTTACTTTTATAGATATTTTCCTGAATTTTGAAACCTGTCCGTAAGTTACGTTCCTGACTTGTCTCCTACTTTCGTTTCTTTTTTAATAATCCTCCTTTGCTCAACAAACTGAATCGTCTGCATGACACTCATACAGTTATGGGACGGCTCATTGAAGGAGATGTATAGAAAAAAAAACATAGAAGTATAATTAATTTATGATTTTTTTTTCAATAAAAGTTACTACATATATGTAAAAAATGAAATGCAATCATGTATCATTTCTAACTGATATTTTCAATTTGGGATACATATCAATGTTGCATTGCTTTAAAATAATTTTTGTTAATTTTAGAATAATTGATTGATTGTATGTTTTTTATCGCCCCCTAGAGAATTTTTTACTCATATGGAGACGCCACCACTTGCCGTTGGAGAGCTAGAAATTTTGTCCTATACTCGGCACTCAGGGCCATTGAGCAGTGAGGGATTTTTTCGTGCCAGTAACTACTGCAAAACGGGGCCTCGGATTATACAGTCTCATCCGAAGGACCAGTATTCATGTCCCAAAGTGGGATTCAAATAGTCGAGATGTCTCGTGCGACTTGACGTTTGAAGTGGCTTATCAATTTTTTAAATGTTTTTATGGTACAACTGCGCTCGCCCCAACGGTCACACCGTAAAACATATTAATGATATATTCTGCAGATATTAACGGTTTTCGTGTGTAAGATTTAGGCCTAGTGACAATCCTCGTTTAAGAGTTACCTGGTTATGTTTACAAAAACTTTTTTTCGAATATCATATTCAGTTAAAATTCTTTTTGAATTATAATTGGTAACAAAATAATTGTCATTTTACAATGAATAGTAATCTTTAATTTGTTATATGCTTGCGTTAAATTTAAATTTTGTAAAAATAATTGATCATCAAAGTCTGTTAGTGTATGGAGTGTATGTATAGTTTCCTGTTAGTTGGCCGGGTACGGTGGACACATAATTAAGGTCTATTGTTTAACCAGTCGGTACTGTACACTGTTAATCTTACCCTGTTTCCCAATGTGTGTAAATCTGGTCGGATGTCATGTTTAATCTGATCGGCTGTTCTTCTTTAAAAAAAATTGAAATAACAATGATTGAAGACCGACTAGATTTTGACAGATACTTACCGCTGCATTATATAAGAAAAAATAACGAATTAATTCAAATTATTCATCCTGTAAAAGTCAAACTTTGAAAACTAAACATTTTTTATACCTGCGGCCCCAGCCCGCAGCCCCCCCCCCCTAAAAAAAAATTCTTTTTTGTTATGAGAACATGTCTTTATATTCCTGGAAATTATGTAGCGGAATATTATGTAGCGTAATATGTTTTTTTTAACACATGAAATAAAAATACCATCTCTCTCTCTCTCTTTTAAAGTAATATTTATGTCTGCTTGCCTTACCGTCCACATCAAAAAGAACACAACTCCTCTTAAAAGAATAAAAAAGGTCATTTATTATGTTCCCCAAACGAAGTTGGGGAACATATTGTTTTA